ACACCATGGCAATGATGTGCATTCAGCCATGGTGTGCGCAAGAGACACTGTCATATCTGCATGGGCCAAGTACTTATGGCCCATGAACGTTGCACATCACACATCCATACATCATATGCAGGGATAAATTGATCCAATCAATTAAATATCTGTAAAGCCCATAATTAAAACCCATTTTAATCCATAACATTAACAATTAATATTATCTAGGTATATGGGCCGAATTAGGGTTAAGCAGTTCGGCCCATAAAGCTTTTCTGCAAATGTGGGCTTTTAGCAGTTTTAACAATTAAAATTGGGCCTTATAGGTTGGGTCGAATTAAACTATTAATTAAATATCAATCCTTAGGCCCATCAGTGGGAAATTAGGGCTGACAATCAGCCTTGATCGAACCATAGATTTGGTCCAACCAGTTTGGACCAATCTGGTTCGAATGAGTCTAGGGTTTGATTTTTAATTAAAGATTTAATCCAAGAAAATGATCTGAAATTAAATACTGATCAAAGAAAATCAAGAATCAGTCAAAAAGGGCTATTCGCACATCACATCCAACAAAACAGAGGTTAGATCATAGAATGCAGTTTCATAAACTGCAAATCGCAGATTGCAATATCCCCATCTGCGAAATCTCCTTCCTGCACCGCCATCTTCGATCCAAGAATAATAAAATAGAAACCCAAAATTTGTATTAATATTACATCAGATCGAATCCTATACATTCAGTCTAAAAATAAAATAAAAAAAATATATATTTTATAGACCAAATGTAATAAATAAATAAATCAAGAATCTGCAAAATCGCAGGTTCACTGTGCCATTCAAGATTTCGATCTCCAGTTGTACGAACAACCCATAAATCAAGAAAATTATAAAGAACAATTCTAAATAAAATTCAGATTTATAAAATTTAATTTCAGACCATTTGCCCTCTATCTGGAAAACAACTAGGCTAAAGAAAAATAATTTTAACTACTCATTCGATTCAGTTCTCCATACACATTGTGTATGGGAAAAAAGAGAAAAAAATGAAAAAGGAGAGTCCGCTCTGATACCAAGAAGAAAAACAGTCGTCTGAAATTAACGAACAAATTAAAAACACTCTAAAAGATGATTGAGAACAGCAGAAACAAGAAACAAGAAGAGAGAAGAAGAAGGTGGCGGCTGATAGGGTATCAAGACTGTTGGAACAGACCAACAGAAGTCAGTTAGTCAGTTTTACAAGAGGAGGCCACATCAGCTCAACTAACCAGCCACTTGTAATAACTGCCATCCACTCGTAACAACTGCCATCCAATTGGATTGTCAAGACAGTTGGAACAGACCACCAAAAGGCAGTTAGTCAGTTTTACAAGAGGAGGCCACATCAGCTCAACTAACCAGCCACTTGTAACAACTGCCATCCACTTATAACAGCTGTAACAGTCAAGATTGTAACACTATAAGTAGTAGAGCAGAAAAGGAAAAGAGGACTCTTTCAGCATTAAAACTTTCTCTCTCTCTCTCTCTCTCTCTCTCTCTCTCTCCTTCCCAAGAATTCAGGAGGTTGGCCCCTCGAAGAGCCCTGAGTTAGGCAGGTTCCTAACAATTTGGTATCAGAGCCAGCATGACCAACACAAGAAACACATCAATAGACACCCGAGTGGATTAGATGGAGGTCGAGATCCACCGAATGTCTTCAGATCTCAAAGAAATGAGGGAAAGCTTCACTGCTCTCCGCCTTCGACTGGAGTAGGGGGCAACAAACATTGACAGAGGAAGCCCCGAAGAGCGCAGCCATGAAAACAGTCGCAGAACAGGGGCGACAACACGAATAGCCAAAATCGACTTCCCCATATTCTCAGGCGGCGACCCAACCCCCTGGATTCTCAGAGCAGAAAGGTATTTCGATTACCATGAAACACTGAGACAGGATAGGGTAGCTCTAGCTTCTACGCATCTTGAAGGGGAAGCTATCCTCTGGTTTCAATGGTACCGAAGGGGGCACCCCCGTCAAACCTGGGCAGACTTCACGGACGCCATGACTGTCCGTTTTGGATCATCTGGGTTCGAAGATCTTGATGAAAACTTGGCAAAACTGTGGCAGGTGGGATCAGTAAAAGAATACCAGATGTAGTTCGAAAGGCTGGCCGTGAGAGTCCAAGGATGGACTAATAAGGCGCTGGTGGGAAGCCCACTTCATCAATGCAGCAGCACTAGCAAGACTGTACGAGGACAAGTTCAGTCGAGCAAGAAAGGTGCAGCAACCATGGGATCCAGGAGCAAGAAAGGAGCAAGAAAGGACGACAGCACCAGACAAGGAGGAAGGAGTTATGGGCCCAGGCCCACTGGTTCCTTTCAAGCGACTGACCTGGGCAGAGATGCAAGCCCGTAGAGACAAAGGTCTCTGCTACAATTGCGAAGAGAAATTTGGGCCAGGCCATCGCTACAAGAAATAGCAAGCGTTTCTCCTCCAAACAGATGCTAAAGAAGAAGACAACAGCACCAGTAGCGGAGAATCTAACCCAGGTTGGGAAATACAATCCAATGGCACGCCTGAAATATCCTTACAAGCCCTTATGGGACTTGCGTCCCCTCAAACAATGAGAGTTGCAGGGCTGATTCTAGGGCGCCAAGTGTCAATCCTCATAGACAGTGGCAGCTCCCTTAACTTCATAACCCAAGTCTTGGTAGATAAAATGGGACTTCCGGTTCAGCCAACAACAGCCTTTACGGTTCATGTGGCCAATGGCATGCCTGAAAACTCTACAGTCCATCTACAAGGGCAAATATGCAAGGGCCCAAGGCCCATCAGTCTTGCAACACTGACAAAGCAAAGAGGAGACCCAGATCAGCCTATATTCATGCACATGGACTCAAATTTTCCTACTTAAATCTGCAATCAAATTTCCTACATTAGACCTTGAGGGCAAGGTCGCTCTAAAGGAAGGGGGAATTGCCAAGACTGTTGGAACAGACCAACAGAAGGCAGTTAGTCAGTTTTACAAGAGAAGGCCACATCAGCTCAATTAACCAGCCACTTGTAATAACTGCCATCCACTTGTAACAACTGCCATCCAATTGGATTGTCAAGACTATTGGAACAGACCAACAGAAGGCAGTTAGTCAGTTTTACAAGAGGAGGCCACATCAGCTCAACTAACCAGCTACTTATAACAGCTGTAACAGTCAAGATTGTAACATTATAAGTAGTAGAGCAGAAAAGGAATAGAGGAGGACTCTTTCAGCATTAAAACTCTCTCTCTCTCTCTCTCTCTCTCTCTCTCTCTCTCTCTCTCCCCCCTTCCCAAGAATTCAGGAGGTTGGCCCCTCGAAGAGCCCCGAGTTAGGTAGATTCCTAACATAGGGTTCAAAGAGAGATTTTCAAATGTAATCTCCTCTTACACCCTAATTCCCTTTCATTAATCTTAATTTTCAGTAATTACAGAGAGGCCCCTTAACTGGGCGAATAAGCTTTAAGTAAACATAACATAGTTAAGGCCCATTATCAGCATAGAACATAAATAAAAGAATATTAAACAATTGTTATGCAGGAGAGAAGAAGAGAAGAAGAAAGATTCGAGAGCCAAAAGAGATACTGGCAACGCCAGCTTTTTAGTATATATACTAGGGTAACAGAAATAAAAAATAAAGAAAGTTACAATAATACCCCTGCGGTACTATACTTAGAGAATTAACAACTTTTAACACTCCCCCTCAACTTGGGACATAGATGTCAATCATGCCCAATTTGTCACATAGATCATGATGTCGTGAGTGGTGTAACTCTTTTGTAAAGATGTCTGCAAGTTGATCTTCAGATCTAACACAAGGAGTACACACTTCCCCTGTGACGACCTTTTCTCTAATAAAGTGTTTGTTGACTTTGATGTGTTTAATTCTATCATGTAGCACTGGATTAGCAGCAATGTTTATGACTGCTTTGTTATTACAGAATAGGGTCATAGGTCCATCCACTGGAAAGCCCACCAAAAGAGATACTGGCAGCGCCAGCTTTTTAGTATATATACTAGGGCGATAGAAATAAAGAATAAAAAGAGGAGAGTTACAATATTACCCCTGCGGTACTATACTTTTAACAACTTTTAACAACAATCAATGGGCCATTCGGCCCATTCTCTCTACACTTTCTAACATCCAACTTTGGTTTCTAAGAGGCCCCTTCAACATCTCAAGTTTTATGGCTACTACTTCAACAATAAACTTATTTTCATGGAGGTTGCTTTATGGAAGGAAGACGGACCTATGTGAAATTCTGATATAATTTCCCCTTTTGTTTATTTAAGCCATTGGTTTATGGGATTAGGGCTGAGTGAGAGTGGACATTTTGTTGTGAGTCTATAGAGAGGTCATCCATGTATCTCTTGTTCTCATAGTGGATCTTTTTCCCTCTCTTCCCATGGATGTAGGCTACTGAGCCGAACCACGTTAAATCTTGGTGTTTTCTCTATTTCTTCTTATTTTCTTCTTGATTTGTTATTCTATTTTATGTTAGTTGACAAGATAAACTCCTGGGATTAGATATTGGTTTTTCAAATGGGACCTGCATACTATTAGGGGGAGAGTGGAAGTTGGGTTAAGTCTCAGTTTTTGCTATATTGGGGAGGGTTTGATGTACTCACCTTATGTATTCCTCCACTTAAAGTTACATTGATCAAAGCCAAGTAAAAGATAGTATATGGCACATTGCCAAACGTATTTGTCATTTAGACATGATCAATCATTTAATGGTGGCATTTTATTGGCTGAGAACCAAATAAACCCTACTTAACAAAGCCTTATATGGAGCTCCTGTTTCAACATTCTACTCAATCAAGGGCTATTTGAAGGAATCCAAAATGCCAACCCAAATAGTTGGAAGTAGGAAATAATACTGATGAAAGGTGGACATCTGAAATACAGATCTGCACATCCACAAGCGAAAATAAAACACAGAAACTACAGAAATCATACAAAAACTTTAGAAGAAAATAAACTTTGACAGAAAGTTTCGAAGACTTACGAATTGATCTGATCCATTGCTGAGCATATCATTGCACGGAATGCTAGAGGCAAGGAAGATATGGTGTATGGAGATTTATTCCTTTCAAGAACAGAGACTAGTGCCCATGATTCATCTTTTGATATTGCTTCTGTCATTGACCGCATCCATGAACAGAGCCTCAATATGTAGATCTTTGTGATTTGCAGATGGAGTGAATGCAAAGACATAACTGTCACACTCAAACCAAAATAAACTCAGAAATGAAAAAACCTGAGGAGACAATAAACTGTAGTATGAACAAGTACCAGCACTAGGAGGAGCTGAATCTTTCCCTTCAATAGCTTGGCATGTTTTAGATATTTCCTTTACAGCATCACTCATGTATGGGCATAGAATATTTGATTCTTCAAGATCATGAAATGCATTAAGGACCTTCATAGCACAATAAGTTGTTTTGAATCAATTTCTTCAGCCAAAAACAACTAAAACAGCATATTTAGAACAAGAATAAATGGCCAGTCAAGAAAGGGCACTTATCATTCACATGTTAGAGTACAAAAATATAAAGCAGATGAGTACAAACATTTCTAAAACATGTTAAAGAGTTAAAACTGAGCATATTTGTGAAGCTAGCTTATTGGAATGAAAGAACAATCAAGATTTTTAAACAGAAGCCATACAAAGGTAAAAACATTGTGAAATATGCAAAAATATAGAATGCTATTTTTTGTAATGATAAAAGATTTATAGGTAGACCCTTTTAAATTAGTATCTTGTTCCAAATCATCAAACAAGGCTATGTTGTCCTGTAAACTTAGAGAGTAAAAGCTACATGATAAAGTAAAAGGAAAATTTAAACTCATAGAAGTACGAATGGTTCTAATAGATGAACCAATTAATTTCTTATACAATAAAAACAAAGATTTAAACTTCATGTTTGAAAAGAATTTCGAGCTGGCTCAAAGTGGTAATCATGTTCACTAAGCGAGCTATAACACTGCTACTCCACACATCTAAAATATTTTGCCAATTTATGGTATAATACTATTTCTTCTACTCCACATAGCACCAGTAGTTTTCTTCGGCTAATATGTCAGTTTTACTAAATATTTTTCATGTCGGTACCCATAGATATGGAAATATATCAGGAAAACATTAGAAAATATATGGACATTTTAAACCACGTGTGTAAGTAGCTCATTGGGTGAAAACATTAGAAACATTCCAGCCTTTCCCCACTGATGATATCATTTGAAACTCACAATAGGTGGCAGATTTGTCCTCAGCTCAGCAAGAATGATTACTATAATTCCTGGTCCCCTTCATCCATGGATGCAATCAAGTTGTTAGGAGTGGTCTTTTGACTAAGGGTGATATGGTCTGTTCACTTTAATTTATATTTTATATTAATTGTTATTTTACAGGATTGTACAGGATAAGTTACTCCCCCACAAAGGGGCAGCAATGTCTTTGTACACCTTGATAACTAATATATAAGAAATCTGGCTGCCTAGGGAGATTACTTTTATTTTCTCCCATTCTTTCTTCATCTCTTCTCTCTATTTTCATTTCTGTTTCTGTTCATGCACATTCTTTTTCTAACCTAGGCTGAATTGAACCATGATTACATGGTATTAGAGCACTAGGGGAGGCTCTATAAGGTTGCAACCATTCTCCTAGTGTTTGGATTTTCTTTTGGAAAAGTAATCTCCCCAAGTCAATGGCTATATAGGCATGCAATAAGGGAGGTTAAAAGGCTGGCCAAAGAGATGACAGCAACCTTTACATGAACATACAGGCTAACATGCTGGCAAGACAAAGAGTGAATAAAGATCAGTTCTATTTGGAGGTTATTTCCCAGACAGACTTGTTAATATATGTAATGAGTGGTATGTAGAGATGATCATTTTCAGCTTGGCCCCGCCTAGAAATTCTGGATTTGGGCCTAGTTTTGTGTTCAGGTCTGGCCTGGTCTGCACATATTTATATATTTATTATTTAAGTATATGTATATATGCTATTTTATATTATATAGCATATAAAACAAATGTTATAAGCATTATGACATTAATATAAAATTACATATTAATACTTTAAGCATAAAAGTCATAGGCCCAGAATCAGGAATGGCCCAGCCACAGCCCAGCCCATGATCACCCCTAGTGGTATGTGGATATGCACATGCAAGAGAGAGAGTAAGAGGGAGATGAGCAAAGTGGGGAGAGAGGAAAACAAATGTGCTAAAATTTTCACATTATCACCTGGAAGAGAAGCCAAGGAAAGTGTCAGCATTACTTGATAAAGATTTATCATTCTTTTATTAAATAATAAATTGAGCAATTACTGACAAAAAAAAAAAGGAGAGAAGACTGAACAGGAAAAACTACTCTGATTGGAAACAGTCTGGATTGGAAAGATTTAAGCCAGGCTCAGAAGAAAGGTTTGAGTGTATTGAAAAGGCCAGGTGCTTTTGTTCAAGGAAATTCAGATATTGCATCCAAAGCACTGAGATGCAGGAAGATACAACAATTTTAGAAATCCCAACACTTTTTGACAACATACAACACTCCATAACATGGCATGACATGAGTTGGCCTATACCATGGCATTATGTATGGGCAGCTGGCATATTTTCAAAGATGCCCATGTATGCCAAACAAGGAACAAAAAGTGCACATTCAATGTAGATGTGCTCGTGTGCCATCACATAATTTATAAATTCAAACTTCTATGATGCTGTAAATATCCTGGAAGACTATCAAGTTTATTACAGATAACAAACATTACAAAATTATATATAAGAAATTAAGAACCAAAATTTTCTAAATAAATACAAACAGCATTAAAGTTAATCTCTTCTGCAGGGTAGCAACCCAGTAGCTACCATAAGTTGAACATAAATGGTTAATGCATTACACAATGTTTGCATAAATGTACTAGAAAATAATAATATGTCATTTATAGTTATTTTAGAAGAATAGAGACCATATTTACCTTGACCTCATATACAGATATAGTACTGTGTATCATCCCAGCAACTTCATCAAGAGAATGAATTGAGTACTTTGCATCACCAACTTTATCATCGAACTTATTACTGGGAGCTCTAATATTTGGCTCAGTAGAAACTTGGGAAGCCTACGGCAAAAGATGATATAGATATCAAACTGAAGCTCAGAAATTGAGGGAAAGCAAAATATGTTCAAAACAAAAGGAAGATATTAACAAATAATAATGTTCTAAAGCACCTTGAGAACAAGAAATACAGTCTGTTGACCAAGGTTGAAAAAGTATAAATCCACAAGAAAAGAGACTCTAAACAAGTTGCTAACATGGAGTGGATTGTGACTAGGGGTGCAAGTTGGGCGCCCTAGGCCGGCTTTTAGCTCAACCAAAGCCCAACCCTAAAATTTGGGCCTAGATCCCAAGCCCAAACTATCCAACCTGAAACCTGCCCACACTAAAATTTGATGCACTCGGATTAGGCTTGGACCCAGGTCGAGCTCGGCTTGGCCAATCAGCCCACACTAAAAATTGATAATGTATGTATATGCAGGTATGTATGCATACATGTATGGTTTATTACAAAAGTATGCATATATGCATGTATGCATACAGAAATGGTGTCTATACATGTATTCGGGTTCGGACTCAAGTTGGGATAAGATCGGGCCGGACTCAAGTTGGGATAAGAAATGGTGTCTATACAGAAATGGTGTCTATACATGTATTCAGGCTACCTAAGGAGTAGGCCTGAGCTCAGCCCGAAAAATTAAAAATCCTAGACTTTTGGGCCCAAGTCCAGCCCATGTAAATTGTTGGCTAGGCTAGTTTGAGCTTGTGTTGGGCCCACCCAAGGTGCACCCCTAATTGTGATATGTAACTAATAACCAAATCCCTCATGTGAAGGAGTTCCATTTTCCAAGCATTGCTTTGCAAACTATATGTATATATAGCCCAGTGCATAAGGCACCTGGCATGTGGGGTCGGGGGAGGAATAGATGTATGCAGCCTTACCCCTGCACATATAGATAGGTTGTTTCCAAGATTTGAACCCTGGTCACCCAGGTTGCAATGGAGCAACCCCATTGTTGCACCAAGGTATTAGATACAATTCATTCAACAAAACCATATTACCCAAAAAAACTAGACAGAAAGAAAACTTTACAAGGTATACAAGGTATCATATACAATTCATTTGAGCATGTCACAAAACCCTGGAGCCCGTGTCACATAATCAGTTTGTACTAGAGAGAAGTAGTCGAACAAGACTACAATCTATCCTAGGTTTTAATGAGAAAAACAAATAAAGATTGAAGAGAAGAAGAGGAGAGGAGAAGAAGAACTCGAAGAGATAATTCAGAAAAGAGAGAGTGAGTGACTTGCAATAGCCGCCCCACTCTTATAATTTATATTCATATTCAAATAACTGTAAAAGGGTTGAATTACCCTTATTGCTTACATGGCAAAAAATTAAAAGAAAAAACTAATAGCATAAGGCTGAAATAAACTATCAACTAACAAACTGAAATAACTAACATAACTAACAGTCTACTACTGTCATATGAACACAGTGGGGACCACATCAGTGGGGTCCACATTAGTGTTCTCTACACTCCCCCTCAAGTTGGGAATAGATATTTGTCATTCCCAACTTGCATAGGTCTGCCTCTAACTTCTTCCTTGAAACAGCCTTGGTGAGAACATCTACAAGCTGCATGTCGAAGGTGATATACGGAAGACATACTTCTTGAGATGCAACCCTTTCTCTGATAAAATGCCGGTCCACTTCAATATGCTTAGTTCTGTCGTGATACCGAATTGTGATATTAATAGCAGCCTGATTATCACAATACAGCATTAAGGGTGTTGGAATGTTAGTTTTATCTCTTATGTTTGTATTCTGCTGAGTTAGGGTCCATTTGGACTAGTTAAAGCAGTTTTTTCTTTTGTTTTTTATGCTGTAAATTAAGTAGGGGCATAAGGGTCCTTTCCCTTCTAATTATGGTCGCCCTATATATATTAATATAAACTGGCGCCACCAGGATCAGTAGTTGACTCCAAATCTCTCTCCTCTTCTCTCTTCTCTCCTCTCTTCCTCTTCTTTTCTCTCTTCTCTTCTCTTCTCCTTCCTCTCTTCTCCTCTGTTCGGCTGTTAATATGGTACCAAAGCAGTTTTCTAAGCCTATGAGCAGATTGAACAAGTTTCAACCTGCAGTCTTCTTCAACTGAGATCAAAAGTACAGACCTACGACTGGTACAGATTTTTTTTAGTATTTTTTTTTTACCTTGGTCGTGTACCAAGAAGAAATTATATGAATCCAAACTGCTAAATGTCTTCTGAGAAGCTGTGAGCTTCGAACCTCTTTTTTTATGGATCGTGTGATCCCATATTTGAGAATTCAGATCTGTAGGTCGTGGATGACCTATTTTTTACCTCTTGTGGTGTAACCATACTGGTTTATGACCCCTCCTAGCAGTCGATGTGTTTGGGTGGTTTGGAAGTTGGTGGACTGTGACTGATAGGTCAGTTCAGCACTGAGATCATCGTAAAATCTTGCTTTTTTTGGACAATCTAAGCTGGTTTGTGGTCAAATTGTGTCCAGATTGCAGTTTGTGCATGTGAGCTTCATCCTTGGTGTATTTCTAGGACTGTTTGTTGGTGATAGGAGGGATCATAAGGTGTGTGTAAGTTCTGAAAGGTGTTTGAATCATGTCCTCTGAGAATTCTGTAACTTCAGGAATTTCAGGAGGTCAAAATGGAATAAGTGGGGGGATAGATATGAGTTTCCCCATGGCTGTAATCCCCTTTGATGGACTGAACTATCTTGAATGGTCTAGGGGAATTAAACTTTATATTGCTGCTAGAGGAAAACTTGGGTATATTAATGGTAAAGTCAAGGAACAAAAGACTGGTAGTGCTAAACATGACAAATGGGACCAACAAAATAGTATGATGATGTCTTGGCTCTTGGTTTCCATGCTGCCACAAGTAAGGAAGACTTTTATGTGGGCTGAAACAGATTGTAAAATATGGGAACAAGCAAAATCTACCTATTCAGAGCAAAAAACCTATGCAAAGATATATCAATTACAAGCTGAATCCTCCAATTGCAAGCAAGGGGAGAGGAGTCTCTCGGTGTACTATTCAAACCTGACATCAATTTGGAAAGAACTGGATCAATATCAAAATGTGAATTGGAAGTGTGATGAGGATGCAAAGGCCCACAAATCACTTGTTTCCCAGCAATGGGTGTTTGTTTTTCTTTTGGGGTTGAATCCTACATATGAATCCATGAGGGTACAAATCTTAGGAAGTAAGAACCTACCTTCAATTCAAAAAGTTTATGCCCTAATTCAATCTGAAGAGAGCAGAAGAAGTGTGATGGATTGTACAGAAAGAGAACCGATTGCACTAGCTGTCCGAGGGGGTACAAGTTCAAATGTTGGAGGTTCTTTTAAAAAGGGTGATTCACAAAAGAGAGTGGATGACAAAGACAAACTTTGATGCACTCACTGTCAAAAGTCCAGGCACACTAGAGACACATGTTGGGATCTTCATGGGAAGCCTAAATGGGCTCAAGAATTGAGTATGAAGTCTGATCCGAGTAAGAAACCAACCCAACAAAATCAAAAGAAATATAACTCAGCAAATGTGGAATCTCAAGAGACTAGTCCCATGGTACCCTAGGAGCAACACTTTGGTTCTAACCCCAAGGAAGAGATCATCAACTCCTTTCGTAATCACTTGGAATTATATGGTAGGACTGTTAGACAGTGTATGCCTTTAGCTCCAATCAGATTGATGTACATTATTGACATTTATTGTAAATGAATAAAGTACATAGTTGATTTATGTTATTATGGTGTGTTTCTATGTAATACCCTTAAACTGGACACTTAAGAGACTAGTATTAGTTTAGAATCTTCACAGCCGTTGAATAGACCTGGGGAGGTTTATCCTGCCAAGGCTAACAATAATGTGTTGCCAAGTCGGTTGGGGTGGCTTGTCTCAGGTGCCAAAGTGGGACCTGAAGCACATATAGTGTGAGTTTACTTGAAACCTTGAATCGGACCATTTTCCAATTATGCCCTGGACCTTGGAGACAGATGAGCAAAACTGAAAAATTACACCTGACCCCTAGACTCGATTATGGTACTACATTAGGTGTTGGATTGGGCTGTCTTTGATATGCCAATCAATGAGATCCTTAGAGGGGGTCAAAACCTGAGTGGGTAATCATAGTGACAGGATCAGCCCATTTGTCGGACAAAGTGAATGATCGGGGAATGCACTCTCTTTGATGGAAACCTAAACTGCCGGCAGTTGATTTCAAACGTGTCGAGAATTGTTTTGCAAAATATATTTATATAGAAATATACATGTATATTATGGTTTCACAAAATGTTTGCAAAAGGTTTTAATTCCCAGGATCCATGTGAGTAGAGAGTGCAACACTGTACCTTGCAACCGAGGGAGAGGTCCTCTCTTGTCGAGCAGTGTTTGATCATTATGGGCTGAGAGGTTAAGTGTAAGACCATTTAGGGATAATAAACCTGATGGGCTAATCCCACATCTGCCCACAGTCCTTGGGCCTTCATAAGATGGTTGGACCCAAGGACCATTTAGTGTAAATGTTGAGCCCATTAAGAGCCCATACTAA